CGCTCGCCGAGATCATCCTAGTTGTCGAAGAGTCCTTAAGACTCAAACCAGGCACAGCAAAACAACAAGTACTGCGGGCGAAATACCCCGCAATCCTGCGGAGTAATGTGCTCTCCAAGTGGGTTGCCAAGTACTTCCGCTACAAATTGTGGCTCATGGACAAGGAGGCGGCTGCGGTTCTGCGAGCCGTGCCTAACTGGTACCTGGACAAGCACTCACTCGATCAGCCACGTAGAGCTCGCGACACCATAGGAGGAATGCCCCGGCCAGTAGCTTGCCTAGTGGACAAGGCACAGTGGGAACACACGATGGGAGCGACGGCAGCGACCAAGAGAGCAGACCCCGTACAGGGCAACCGAATCCTACGTCGGACCATGGTGGAGGCCATGGCAGAATACAATGCAGAAATCCAGCCTGTAATAGAGCAGATTGAAGTTCAGAATCACAAGGCATGGGAAGACTTTTCAAACAAGTTGCGGGCTTCTGAAGGCAGCGGCATTCGCAAACGGAAATTGGCAGAACTCATTAGGGAGATGAGGGGTCACATTCGCAAGAAACCCCGCAGCTTCGCGACATGGAAGCCTGGCAATTCCTCTGCAAAGCGTTTTCAGAAGGCCTTCGGCAACTTCGTCAACCGAACAAATACATCGGGAAACTATTTGACGTATGACGACCCCAGAATGGCCCAAACTCGTCGCGAACATGCCGAAGCCATAGAGAAGAACAATGTTCCCATGAGTCTGGTCCTGACTCTCGGTTGCCTGCAGCTTGTGCTATACGGGGTGTGCCATCTTTACGTCCGGCGCCGTGCTTGCTAATTGTCCGGTGTATATAATTCGATATAATTCGAGGGAGAGGCGCAGATCCTGGCATCCAAGGAATTTCGGCCAGACTTGGCGAAGCTTGTATGTTTTCTCGAAGACGGCTGTGCGGAAAAACAGCAGAAGAGAGAAACCTGGTGTCCTGAGGAAGACCGTACCAAGGCGAGTAAGGGGCAAGAAGGCCGCGGCAAAGACAAAGGCAGCGATCCGTGCGAAGAAGAGGGGTAACGCACCGGGGGAAGACTTTCGACTGGATGGTGTCTCCAATGCATCTTGGCACGAACTAAGGGAAACGCCATTGTAACATGCAGATCGTTAGCGTACCGACCACAAAGCTGGCACATGTGAACTTGCTAAGGCCCGGAAGAGCTTTACATTTTGCAGGAGCCTCTGGGGAGACGGCTCGCCGGGCCCGTGCGCGATATGCGTACCGCATGCTGGAATTTCACAGGGTCTTATGAGCCAAATCAACCAGGAACAGGCAGGACGGGTGCGGGTCCTGGTGAGCTCCACCGGGACACACATGATGAACTCAGAATTGACTATGCAACTATTCGAAGAATTGTACGGGCCAGCTTTCAAGCTTCGCCGTGCAGCCCTGGGACTCCCGGCAAACACACCTGGACTGTTAATCGCTGACGCTTTTACTGGCACGCACTCCGAGGGCTCGGGCTATCCACAGCGCCGACAAAGATGGAGCGAACGGCATTGTGTGACGCTCCCCCTCCAAGTTCCCGGTGGCTGGTCGGCGAAGGGGCAGCCCGCTGACCAGCTCTTCTCCCACTTCAAGTTCCGCGTCCGCCTGGCGATGGATATCAAGCTGGGGTTCGGGCAGTCATACTTTACCAGAGCCAAATTTGAGCAACTGTCCATCGGAGCAACGGGGGCCCCCAAGCGGAAAGCCACCATGGAGGATGCGATCACCGTCAGCATTTCCGAATGGTTCGCTCTTCCCAAGGGAGTGCTGATGCATGCCTGGACCGCCACTGGGCTCTGCACGGTCGAGCGGATGGCCGAGTTGAACGGGCTAACCGAGGACGAGGTGCAGCAGGCGCCTGTCACATGCAACCGTGTGAAGCCTGCTACACCGGACTTGCAGAAGCGATCACTCGTGACATGTATGACAGCTCACAACCGCCGTAGATCACTGTTGTATTCCTGTATAAGGTCCTAAGGGCCTAAAGCAACCTCACTTGCAGCTGTTGCGGACGACCCTGGTCACGGGGGATCCTAAGATGGCACATCTCGCGAGGATCTGAAGGCTGCCGCTGAGAGGCTGAAAAACCTTGTCGCCGATCCAGCTTTCCACCGGATGGAGGAGCAACCCCCCAAACCCCTATCATCTTTAAGCTTTGAACGCTTGAGCGACCATAATCATATAGATGCAGGACCAAACGTGTTATGCCGAGATGCTGTCCACCTTCGCTCCTGGCGAAGTCCGCTACGTGTGGCAGCTGCAGAGTGCACAAGCCAGTGCGGACAACCCTGATCATGTCGATTGGCTGAACCTGCCGGCTGTGGTCTCGCGATGCCTGGATAGAGACTATGCCAAGTATATACACAAGCCGGAGGGCTCCAAGATGCGAGATCGCTCATCCTTTGGGATCTCGGTGAACTTGGAAGTGGAAGTGTCATATCAGTGGCTGATGGAGCGGACCCGGCTGGACGATGAAGGCATCCGCCGTTTGAACAAGCCCACCAAATCCATCCTTATCATCACCTTCGACCGTGTGTCTCTCAAGGTGAGCCTGGACGGAGCTGCTTTTCGCAAAGTGCGATGCATCAAGCTTACATCTGAAGAAGCCACGGTCCTCCCAGAGGCGAACCTTCCGGACCTTTTGCAGGAACACATGCAAGGCTACATGTCGGGTGCAGAGGACCAGTGCTTTGCGAGCCGGTGTTGTCGGGTGAGATCTGGGCCATGCATCGGAAACTCAATCTTGGAAACCACTCAGCCCCAAAAGCAACCCGGTTGTTTTTAGCCGTTTTCCAGCCCCCCTGCCCCCAGCCCCAGATGAGATTGGGGGTTGCCTTTGGCCCGTTTCCCAGGCAGAGCGAGGGGGCGGGGGTCGAATTGGAAGATATTGGAGGGTATATATCTATAGGGGACGGTGGGATATGGTCTGAAGTTGGCATGGATCAGACCTGTTCGGATGTTATCGCTTGTGCCATCTGTGTTGCCGATTGCAGGAGGACGAGGCGGATGAGGACGGGACTGAGGAAGAAAATGGGCCGGGCGGGGAGACTGAGCAGATTGTCGAAGCGATGTCTGATGGCGAGGCCGGGTTGTTTGTGTAATTGTGCGTCGCGGCCACATAGATGGCACATGCGAGGCAGCCGATGCCTGGGGCGCAGACTACGAGGGCGCGAATTCAAATCACGAGGCAAAGGTATTTGTGTCAGCGGCCTTGAACAGAAGACATAAGGTCCAAGGTAAGACTTTTCGCTTCTTTTCAAGGCCGCCGACCCGGATGGGGCTGCCAACGAGTCTGAAATGCTTGCGGCGACTCGGGATGATTGGGAGCTGCTGTTGGAACGTCGCCTGGAGGCTCCATCCACGAGGCAACATGCTGCATACACTCCGGAAGAGGCTGGAGCATGGAGCACGCCTGCATCAGAGCGGGGCAATCTGCCGCCCGGTTCTCGAATTCAGAGACGAATCCCTCACGCACCCCATCGCAACCATTTCGGGACCTCCCGCGGACCCTCAAACCGGCAAAAAGATGGCATACAATCGGGACCTCCCATGGACCCTCAAACCGGCAGACAAGATGGCACACAAACGCAGTGCATATTTCCCTCTCAATGCACGGTGACTCCGTTCGATGCATGGTGACTCGAAATTTGTACAAGGCGAGCATCCATGCAAAGACATGCAAAAACAATGGCAGCATCCTGAGCTCGAGACTTGGTACAAAAAGCCTTCATGTGCGTACAGTCTATGCCCGAAAGCAATGGTTTAGGATTTAGGGCTGAGGGCATGCAGCCATCGAATTTTGCACTCACTTGCAAGCCACCCATCTGCTCGGAGCAATGGCCGTGGCTCAGGATTCCTCATGCTTGCTCCAGGCCCATCGCACAGCCTGCTGGAGTGCCTCAGCCTGAAAGGAGTGCCGGATGCGATTGTCGCTGTGTTGCTGACGAAGCAAAGAGACACGTACACACACCTTCATGAAAGAGAGAGAGAGAGAGCGAAAGGTGTACATGTATGTGTGTGTGTATACATATATATATATATACACATGGATATATAAATACGCAGTTTCAGCACGCGGTGCACACACACACACACACACCCTTCTGCCTGGGAAGGCGGCTCGCCGTCAGTGCCCCACGAGAAGCACTTGCTTCCGGCTTCGCGATAATGGACTTGGTAGCCATCTTTTCTCCTGGTTTGAGGGTCCACGGGAGGTTGCGGAAATCCATGCGTTGACCCCCCACCATGTGCCATCTTATTTTTCCGAAAACCATGTGCCATCAATACGGGGGCCCCTATAGACGTGGAGCCTTAAAAGATCGCCTCCCTGTTGCGGCTTCAGACCTTCACGGCATTCGTCTGCGCAAGCGCGGGCGGGCTCGGTAGCAAACGGACCCTTCGAAAACGTTTCGAACTGCTTCAACATTAAACGACTCGAAGCTGGTGAAAGGTTTGACTTCGGGCTTCGCTGGGTGCAAGTGCGGGCTCAAGAGAAGAATTGAATGAGAGAGTCTGAATTTGCTTGATAGGGCAAGGGCGGAAGCTGAAGTCAGTCTTCCCAAGCAAGAGGCCTATTCAACCAACCAGAACAATCCTGAAGATAGTCCCGTCGAAATGCGAATCAAAGCGACAAGCACCGGCCGAGCAACGGGCAACTCCGGAGTGGGTTCCGGAGCGGATTCAGGAGCCGGTTCCGGCACGGGTTTGGGAGCGGGTGGGTTGTGGATCGGGGTCCGGAGCAGGTTCCGGAGCGGGTGCCGGAGCGGGTGCCGGAACGGCCGGTTCCGGAGCCCCTTCCGCCGCGACGAATAGGCTGATGTTCATTGCGCACTCATGGCCCAAGTTAGCGATAAAAAGTTGTGCGTTCTGTTTGTTGGGGATACCTGCTGGGATTATTTAGGTTTGAACGCATCGATTATGATTAAGATAAGATGAAACGTGGCCAAGCAGCGGCTTTGATTTAGCGGATCTGTTGCCGGCAGGATTTCACTTCGTTCCGTCGCTGAAACTGGCCTGTCCCAGATGCTCAGCTGCACCAGGTAACACGATGACTTTTCCGAGACCGTATGTAACTGACAAAGGCTAGCTGCAGTGACCACGCTGTCGATTGACACCGGCGACTTAGCAATCATCAAGGACCGAGCCAACTGTATTCACCATGGAAGTCTGTGATGCGCAACAGCTGAGCAGAGGAATATGCAGAGACCGGGCTGATTACCGACGCAACGACGCTGGCGACTTGGCAACGTCTTGCAGCCGAGGCTCTTCAATCTGCAACAGAGCTCACAGCCTGATGCAGGAACCCCTTGTTCGTCAGCCAAGCTGGATTGAGTGGAGATCCGGCATCAGACTTGGGACAGCCTCCGCGAGAATGCATCTTATCACTAGCTTCAAGCGCCGTCGAAGGTTTACGTTGCCTTCGTGGAAGATGCGCACGGCCCCTAGTCTCTGGCAGAACCGTGCTAATGCCATGCTGCGCCGGACCCAGGATCGAGTACGCGTGCGGGAAAGTTGAAGGCGTGGATGAAAGGGTTGCCCTCGCGATGGACAAGCTGGCAGTAAATCTGGGAGTGGCGCCCCAGCCGAAATACACCACACAGGGTGCAATAAAACCGATAAACCACCCTGCCGTTGGTTGCTTTGGTACATGATCTTGCTGTTCTCTTCCGGCAACGCCAAACTTCACTGAGGCGATTTCCAAGTTGGTGACTGGGTACATATCTACCGAGGTCCCCGTGAGCAGGGATGCACAGGCACAAAGAATCGTCTTTCCCCAGTGATGGTCGGCTGAGCGAGGTGGATCCGAGATTGAGTTTCGACAAGGCCATCTATCAGACGCATCCTAGCTTCTTGTGGCCAGATTGTTGACAGTTGACGTGCAGGAGGAGACGCTTCGCCGTGCTCGTCGCATTATTGCGGCTGCCGTAGATTGAAGATCTTGGCCCCAGGGCTGGGATGCCTTCGTTAGCTGCTGTCAGAAACTTAGGCCTTGTACGAAGAAGCTGGTGTACCGCGTGAGCGAGCGTGTTACTCAGCCGCCTTCCCGGACAAAGAGTTACTCTTCATGGAGATTTGCCAGGTTCTCATAAAGCTCGCGGCCACATGGGAGGGCATTGCAGCGATGGCGGAGCTAGAGAAGGAGGCCAGACTGTATGCTGCAAACAAGTCGTGCCATTGCATCTCTGAAGATGCCGAGGGCATCACCTGCAACATGACGCTGGTGTTCGGGTTTGATTGAACCTCAACTTCATCAAAGATGATGGCACCGTTCCTTACATGGTCCCTGTCCAGATATGAGTTCTGAGGTGCAAGCTGTTGCAGCGGCGCAGCTCCTGCCTCATTTTGGCTGCCGACAGCATCTTTTTCTCGTTCAGCCGAGAAAACATCCAAGGTATGGTGCAAGGCTTATTTCACCTTTTCCTGGCCGTGTGTTGGACTGGCACAAGCGGAGTTCAGGCAGGTCGAGAGGAATGCACCAGACTATTTCAGAGTAATCAGAGTCGGACGCTGGGAGTTGAGAGCTTTGTTGGTTTGGGTGCATCGAGGCAAAGAGACGTGGAGCCCCCGGGAGGCGGCGCCTGATGTCCACCATGTCAAAGTTGTTTTGCTTCGATGCCAGCGCGGAAAGTGTTACGTCTTGATGTGCCAAATGTCGTGCAACATCGTGCAACCCTAGACAAGGGCTCGCTTGATTCTGTATAGCGCTCCACCCAACATCTGCTGAAGCTGGCCAGGATCCAGGCGTCGTTGTTGTCGAGAGGATGTGACCCCTAGCCGCCATAGCGTCCGTGCTCTTTAGGCTCCCAGACATGCCTCCTTATGTTTTCGCTTGTATTCTCGGCCTCCTCCCTGGAACGACCCTAGCCTGATGTCGGCCGGTTTCGCATCACTGCTGTGCAACAGCAGCCATTTGCAGACGACACATTGGCAGCGTTTGGAGCGTGCATTTTTGCACGAGAAAAGTACAGACACGTAAACTGCCTGTCTAGTTGCAGCATGTTGCAGCTGATGCAGGTGCCGTGGAATCATGGAATCATGGGTATACCCATCCCCTCACATCCCTCACACAAGACGTATACAACCAGTGAAGCGCTGAAGTCCCACTCGAGACCTCACAGCTGAGCGACGATGGCTGGCACGAGCAACTTGCTCGGCAGAATTGCAGAAGTAAGCAGGTGTAAGACATTATGAGCCGATGATGTGAGGACATGGAAGTACCTCACGCCGCCTGCGGTTCGTGTCGGCAGCCTTTGTAGCTTGGACGGGACAGAGCAAGTGTGCTCGAAAATGCTCGCATCCTTGGGCCTTAAGGTGGCTTGCTGCCTGCTGGAAGGGACCAGCTTCGTTGGCAACGGCTCCCTGCCGATGCTGCCCAAGCTGCCCAAGTCTCGTGCGCTGTCACAGGAGACTTGGACCAACCCAGATGCACGGTGCGAGCGAGCATGCTTGTCATTGTCGGCAGCTGCCCGAAGCCCGAATCCCGTGCTCAGACACAGCTGGCGGCAACACCGTCGCAGCGTGTGGCATATGCCGCAGTTGTTCAGGCACTTCATTGATTCATCCATGATTTCTCGCCTGTTGCTGGTTACCCACACGGGCCAGGTGCAGGTGAAGGAAGGCCAGGAGGAGAACTTCTTAGAGGCCCCGACCTGCCATTGGCCATTGGCCATTGCGTAGCATTTCGCGTGAGTTAGCGATGCAGGCGTCACTGCAGAATGCACGGAAGTCCAAGGGCGAGCCGCTGAATCAGCGGTTCGACGTGCTTCAACAGCGAGCCTGGATGTCGGATCAGTTTGAAGTCGGCTTACAGAGTTTGAATCCTGTTCTTGCACATCCGGTCTGTGACAGTCTCATGTGAGGTGTTTAAAAAATCAGTTTCGTTGCTGTTCGGCTCCAAGGTTCTGGTTTGTTTGTTGAGTTTCGGCACTGGCGCGCTTCCCAAGGAGATTCGCCCGGCAACTTTGCCTTGGTCGAAATCTACAGGAGCATTGTGCAACGACAGCCAAGGGCATGTGGCAGTTTTATCACGGCCGACCCAGGAATGCAGATGGGCCCGCCGGACACAAGGAAACGCTGCACTATCAGCAATGGCGCGATGACGTGGCAGATATGATGGCTGTGCCAAGGACGCCTGCAACCTAAAGAGTATGCCTGGCGAGACGTTTGTTTTTTCGCAGGACCGCAGTGCAGTATGACACCGTTTTTCCGGGAAAGGACACGCTCGCCAGAGACAGTAACAGTGTCAGTTGCATCGTGTTGAGCGATAAAGTTTCGGCTTTTCGGCATGCAATCTAGATCGTGATGGCAAAGAAAGGAAAACACTAAAAGTTGTCGTTTCTTTTCAAAACTCTGGTCGAGCGGGATGCCTTCAACCATCTCCCCACACGCCAAGGGGACACTGTTTGAGTATTTGCAGCCGCAAGGTATCAGCTGAATGTGCTTTTGCCCCTGTATAGTCTTGCTGCCGGTGCTGTGCGCGTGTGCGTGTTTGTTAGACAATCCCTCCCCCTCTGCCCGGTCTCTGAGCCAGTGTCCCCAGCTTAGTATTCCGGTGAGGGATCATCGAGGGAAGAGCTTTGTTACTGTGAAGTGGACTGTCTCAAGTGTCCAATTCCAACCCCAGCCTCCCGGCTTGTGGGGGTGGGCCCATGCACATCCCTCCCCAAATCCCAGCCTCGGATTGCGGGGCCCGGAGCGTTTTGAACTCTGTACCGGATCCCCGGTGATGCATGCGGAGGGGCAAAGAAGGCGAGAGGGAGCGTTTCCGTAGGCCGGAGAGCACCCCAGGTCTTGTTTAAGCTCAAGCACACGCTCTGTGAGTTTCAGGAGGCCAGTATCCTCGCCTCAAGTGTCTAAGCGCAGGGAGGAACGCAGAGAGACAAAATCAGGAGCATCGAATTTGTCTCGAGTGAAATCTTTCATTCATTACATGGCCTCCTATTTGTCAGTCATTATCAACCCGCATGGCTGCTCGACTTCGACTCGTGGCTTGCGCGACATCCACCACGAACGTCCACAATCATGCAGTGCTTCCGTGTACGTCCACGCCTGCGATTCGTTTCAGTTCTGAAGCTCCTTGCGCTCGAATAGCTCGAACTCTTCGATGCTCCCTGCTGACTCTGTGACTCTCCAAAGGGGGCCCCGTGAAATTGTTCTGCACAGCGAAGGCGCGTTGTCATTCCAAGTTAACTGTTGCCGCCCCCGCATGTCCTACAAGGCGCCAAGGCATGAATGACACATAGTTTGTATTTGGTAGCCGCTCGCATCCATTTACAATCGCTTGAGTCACGATTATAACCCCGTTAGTCTGGAATCACCCACGGTTTCCAACAGTCTTAGGTTTTGAGGGCGGCTGCAACTACATGCATAGATTGAACGGAGTCACAAGAAGACTTTGTCTAGGTCTGGGCGATTACCGATACCCCGCCCTATGCCCAACGGTCGCACATAACCCGACAGTAGCTACATATAGGCCAAAGGACTCGAGTTTGTGAGCTCAAAGTGGGGTTATGATTATGGACAGCAGTGTAGCTGTGTGGCATACCGATACCCACCGATACCCAACAGATGCTAATTTTGAAGCCCCAGGCCCTTTAGCCCCAAATCCGTACACTTAGATTGGCAACATCGTTGCAGTGATGTATGCAACCGTATGTCTGCATGCATGCATGCATGCATGCATGCATGCATGTATGCATGTATGTATGTATGTATGTATGTATGTGTGTACACACAGATATTTATATGTTTATATATATATATATGTGTATGAATGTGCTGTGCTGTACCGTTGTAATTGTAATGTAATGTAATGTAAGGTAATGTAAGGTAAGGTAATGTAATGTAATGTAATGTAACGTAGGGAGGGAAGGAAGGAAGTACAGAGGTATGTGTGTGTGTGAACGCCTGTACATGGCGACTGCAGTGCACCTTGTTTTCTTCTTTTTGCAGGGGGCAGAAGCTCTCCCTGGGGGTCTTCTGCCAACGAAGACGCCCCCAGGGAGGGGTGAAAACGTACCTG